AGACAGTTAGTCCTTGTCCTATTGGTGCTCTCCCTGATAGAGAGTCTTTCTCCATCTTTCCTGTAGGCCCTGTAGGCATGCTTGTCAAGTTTGCAGTTCCCAAACTGGGGAAACGTGGATGTGCTTGAGGGCTCTCCTGACACTTGGGGGAACCTTGTCGGAAGTGAGCCAGCAGGATCCTTAACCAGGACAAACAGTGAGCCTTGCCTTGGGAGACCAGAGCCCTGCAGCCATACAGGGGCCAAGGATCAGCTCTGGGGGACAGCTGTGGGCACTGGTGAGCAGCAAGCTGTGTCAGGGCCAGCACTCAGGCAGCAATGACAGACAGCAGCACCTATGGAGGCATGAGCAGGGCATGGCCCCAAGAGTTAGAGGAGGAATCGGTCCCCTCTGCTCAGTACTCTAGATACTGTGATGATTTCTTGAGTGCAGTAGAAGACATACATCAGTAAAACTGGCTGAAGATGAGGCACTGGGGCTGGAAAACTTGCCTTGCAAGGAGAGGCTGTGGGATAGGCTGGTTTATCCAGGAGAATGAGGGGCTCTGGGTCTGGGGCCATCCAATAGCATCTCCAGTACCAATAGGAGAGGGCATGGAGGAGACACTGGCAGGCTCTTCAGAGATTTCAGTGTTGGATGAGTGACAGGCAGCAGTACAAGCTGGAACAGGAAAAGCTGAGGCTGGAGATAAGGAGGAATCTTTCTTCCAGGGGGACAGTCCAGGAGTGAGTTGGGGCCCATGGAGGTCGGGCTATCTCCATTCTTAGGAAATTTCAACTTCTGACTTTGTAAAGCCCTAAGCAGCCTGGTTGGACCCCCTGACTGAACCTAGGGACATGGCAGCCTGCTTGTGTCCGTGGGTCTGATACTCTAGCTTCTGCCTTTTTCCCACCTTTCCACACCCTTTTTTTTTTTCCTTTTCTGTGATACTAGACAAGTGATTCTACACCTTTGCTAGAGGAGAGTTAGGTGAAGTCTGTTGTCTCACAAGACTACTGTAAGGATTGAGAAGAATGATAAAAATACTATCTGCAAGAAGGAAATGTAATATTTGACCTCTAGGAAGTAGTAATATGTTGTCTCATCTTTTTTATCAATATTTTGTAAAATAATAGTTTGTAAAAACACATGAAGTTATTTTTGCAATTCATCGCTGGTTTTAGATATACTTCTCCTGTATATATTTACTTGAAAATTTAATTTGAATTTCAATTTGAATTAATTTCTTCCTGTGTTCCTGACATTCCCCGTTTCTGTTACTTGACACTCGAGAATCAATATTGGATGCCAGATTGGCTCTTAACAGGATGCTTATAAACAACAAAGAATATTAATTTCCTTATCCACAGAGGCCAGATATAACATTATCACACTACATGATATTGGGCTGCAGATAATGCTTTAATATATACACCCCAATATAGCAGGTCGCTGAAATGGTTGTAAAAAGTAATTTATGAGAAAATTCAATAATGGAATTATATTGTTGTTCTCAAGTGATTGTAAATATGGTTATAGATAAAAATAATTTTAGTTTAGAAATTATACCGCTTTCTGAAAGTCAATTCTGCCTCTTAGCCTGGAGTTTGGGAGGTGAGCCAACATCTCTTTTTTTACACATTTTTCAGTTTTAACAATATTGTAGATGATAGTGTACACAAACCCTATTTATGTTAGAATACCTGAGGAAAAGTAAAATGAAAACTTACCCATGTGAGCTACCCTAGCGTTATTTTTAAAATGTGTACTAGATGATAGAAATGACAGGTCTAAATAACAGATCCTCTTGGAAAAGTGTCCCTTTGTTCAGAGTTACTCCCCCCCGCCCAGTATTTAAACCATTGTCTGTGCAGAAAAATGTCACTTGTCACCCCATAGACTATAAAATTCAACTTTTTAAAATTGAGAGGAAAAGCTTCTATGGCTAGTTTGTCCATTTAAGGAATATTTCTTTAAAATTTTGTCATTTTAGCCAAAATGGAGTGAGACAGATTAGCAGAAAGACATGTGATGATGTAGCTAAAAGGGTGGCAATACTGTTCTATTGTTCGTCTTTCCTGAATATAGCTTCATATAAATAATGTACAGTGTACAGAAAATTAACATAGGGCTTTGCTTTCTGCCTTAAAGTAGTTCTTGAGAATTACTCTTGTGTGCTTCCCAGGGCTTATATCAGCTTTCTCTACCTCCTGAAACCACACAAGTGGAAGAGCTGTCAATCAGGCACCTTATGCATGGATGTGTCTCCATATCTCCATATTTAAGAATTAATTAGGTGTTTGAGTTATTTTGTTTCTCTTTGGGTGGATGTTGCTTTAAGTTATTTTTAAATAATATTGAGAATTTATATTTCCCAAACTCAGACAGTCACAAAAAGCCTTGTGTGTAGACACAAAAAATGTCATACTGGCAGATTTTAAGTGAGGATTCCCTAAAATGTAGTGGAATTGCTTCCTGGTTTGTGGTTTTTATTTCTTATTTAGTAAGAGAAGTACTTTTTAAAGTTCCTATAGTCTGAAGATGTGAGCTTTTAAAGAAACAAGGAGAGCTGTTGTCTTAAAATTAAACACTGAGAAACAGCCGTCTCTGTCAAGAGGAGTCTGGGATTTTACTTTCATTGAAAAATTAGAAAATTATTGAAAAAATAGTTTCATTTCTGTCATAATAAGTAACAACAGAAAACATGAAAACAAAGCTACTGTATTTAGAAGAGATTTTCTGAGGCTTTTAAGCTACATATAGCAAAACCTTAGTGTTAATTTACAGTGAGTTCATAATTCATGCACAACTATTCTGCCTCATGCCTTCTATGTGTGTTACAATTTTCATGTTTGAAGTTCTTTTAAATTCACCTTTTCTCTGACTTTTCTGAGTTTATAGTTCTTGGGCTTGAAATGATAAAAATATTCCTGAAATGTTTTACCATAAATTATTAATATGCTATTTATCTTCATTTCATTTTAGTTAGAATCATCACTTTTCATGGCTAGTAATAATGACAAGACTCATTTTTTGTGTTTCATTTTCAATACTGTTATAAAGTATATATTTTACTATACCTTGCATTTTTATCTAAAGTATGCATTTACTTCACATTATATAATTCAATTATAAGTTTTTTGACCTACTATTTTAAATAGCACTCACTTTAATATCCTTTAAAAGATTGATTTCTAAACTGTATGTACAATTAGAAAATCAGATTTAGGAGAATTTATATTTAGCAAATGTTCATTCTGCATGTTTATGCAATGAAACTACCTTCTGGCTACTGTGACAACTAAAAGGTAGCACAGTAAAGTCCATGTGATTTTAAAAACTAGAGATACACAGAAACTGAGTGTAAAAGATTACAGGTTGTTTTGAATACTGAATGCCTCAGTATAGTATGTTTCACTGTATATGCTATTTGTATAACTAGTCCTTCCTTACCCCTATTTTCATGTTTTACCTTTTCAGTAATGCTAAAAAAAATGTCAAGGTTTCAAAATTAGTTCAAAAGGTTGAACTGATTAATTTGTTAGTTACAATCAAAATCTGAAATCAGAAAGGGGATGAAGAACTCAAAAATATTTTTTTTTCCCATCTATTTTTTAAATTCTGCTGTTATGTAATTCATAAAGTTGTATTTATAACAAAATTATTTGGCACCTATTCTTTGTTTGTACCCTTCAATGGGTGATGGGTTTTTAAGCATTGGTAAGATGAGATTTTTTTTTAATATCTACCATGAAAAATCTCTTCAGGTCTGTAGTGTGAAAGATAGGCAAGGAGAATTTATTCGTAGAAATATGAACTATTATAATTTTTGTTCACATACACAAGAACTTTTAGCTGCTGTAGAAGATCAAATCACTGACAAAAGAACAAATCACTGAAACTACTCTTTGTGCTGAATCAGGAGGGCAAAATCAGAATAAATTTCACAAGCAGTCTCAAGAATGAATCTGTATCCATGATTCTTAGTTCACGTGTACAATACTGTGTATTTTTTGGAGCACTTAAAACAATGTTGTGTAGCTTTTTTTGTTCAGAGTACTTTGTTCTGTTTGATTTCTACACAAAAAACAATGTTTAATCATTTCAGCAGTTAGTGTACTATTCCTTTGCAAAGTTTTGATTTCACGTGCAGCAAAGAAATTAAGGAAAATTCTTTGAAAATTCAAAAGAAGAATTCACTGAAGAAGAGATGGGCACTTAAATTTGAAATTACTTTTTTTTCCTGGCATTTTATACATGCACAGATACCTATATATATTTGCCTAGAGCACAGTGAATATATGCATGTCTGTATATGTAAATCCATATGTTTATATATCTAGATAATACACAGTAGATTTTAACTCTTTCTGATGTGTTAGCTTTAATACATTTCAAATACTTTTTCTGCAGAATTTGGAAACTGATTTGGCAGAGGCAAGAGAACAAATGAAAGAGTTGTGCAGTATATGCAGTAACTTATCATCTCAGGTAGCTGTGAAACAGGAAGAACACTCCGAAAAGGATTGTGATGTGACTAGAGCTGAGTAAGTGTTTCATCATTTCATTACCTTTAAGTCTGAATCTTCTCAAAAAGACTATTGTTCCACTTCGAAAGCAGTATCTTATATTGGAGGTATTTTTGTGCAAGAGTGTACTTTCATACTATTCTGTTTCACAAGATGTAAAATTTTTTGGAAGTCTGCCAGCAGATAACAATTTATGTAGAGTCTCTGAGATATGTTTTGGCTCTTAGTTTATTATTACCATTTTTTGAATAGGGATGGACTTTACAGATTATACATCTGTAATTAAGGTTGGGTCAGAGAACTACAAGTCTCCACTGAAAGTGACAAAAACGTGCTATGATTAGAGACATAAACATTTAATTGGAGAGGCTAACTTGGGAAAGCTTTAAGCCCAACTAAGTTTTTAATTAGAGTTAAATCTGTTGAGTGAGCAGAAGTATACATAGGTCTGTGCTGAAGATTTAAAGTGTAGTGATTTAAGCTTGTTCTTAGGTCTCACATACTGTTTCTTTACACTAAAACTGTAAGTTTAGTGTTTCATTATTTGAGTTGTGGAAAAGAAATAAAGAATGCAATTACTTACGTGAAATGACTACTGAATTCCTCAAAATGAAGGTAATGGTAGAAGACAATTGGTGACTTTTAAGTTTCACAGGCACACACAGTGTTTATCACTCCTTTGTTGAACAAATAATACTCTCTTCAATGAACCTCAAATTTTGGTTATGCCTCAAGAGCTGAAGTTGGGATGAGAAAATCACTACTATGGGCACTTCTCTTTGCTTTTCAAACAGAAATAATTTTTTTATAAGGAGTCAGTGTCATAAATTTTTTTTGAGGGAAAAACTAGAAATATGACTTTTGCTGCTTCTGACCTAAATTGTTGTCCTAGTATTTGTTGGAATCTTTACAGGAAAAATGATAGTCTTACCATTTTTATATTTAAAAGACCTGATGATTGGGTTTTCGAAAGCCAAAAATAGGCAAGTTTAATGGGAAAGCATGTTGAAACAGGCAACCACTGGAATTTGTGAAATTCATTAATGGTCTAATAGGCTTTATTATCTTCTGAAGTTGTTTTCAAATTGTATTGGGTTTGTCTGGCCAGATTTCAGTATCAGGGGAGTTGTAGGAGTGGCTTCTGCAAGAGCCAGTGTCTGACAGAGCCAATGCCACCTGGCTCCAAAGACCCCCGCCGCTGGCCAAGGCTGAGCCTATCGTGATGATAGGATAGGAACGCCTCTGTGAAAACGTATTTAAGAAATGGAGAAAGAAGAACTGCACCACACAACAGCTGGCAGAGAGAGAGAGGAGTGAGAATATGTGAAGACACCAAGGTCAGTGAAGAAGGAGGGGCGAGGATGTGCTCCAGGTGCTGGAGCAGAGTCCCCTGGGCCGTGGTGAAGACTATGGTGAAGCAGGCTGTCCCCCTGCAGCCCCTGGGAGTGACGAGGTGTAGATGTCCACCTGTGGCCCATGGAGGACACCATGCTGGAGTGGGTGGATGCTTGAAGGGGGCTATGACCCTGTGGGAAGCCCACGCTGGAGCAAGGTCCTGCCAGAACCAGTAGCCCATGGAAAGAGAGAGAAGCCCACGCTGGAGCAGGTTGGCTGACAAGACTTTTGTGTCACCACGAGGGACTCGCACAGGAGCCGTTTCCCCCTGGAGGACTGCACCCCATGGAGAGAGACTCACATTGGGGCAGTTTGTCAAGAACCATCTCTCATGAGAGGACTCACATTGGTGAAAGTGTGAAGATCATCTCTCGTGAAAAGGACCCCGCAGTGGCCCAGGGGAAGAGCGAGGAGTCCTGCCCCAGAGGTAGAAGGATTGGTGGAGACGACAACTGATGAACTGACCCCAACCCCCATTCCCTGTCCCCCTGTGCCATTCAGAGGGAAGAGGTGGATAGACTGGGACTGATGTTAAGCCTGGGAAGAAGGGAGGGGTGGGGGGAAGGTGTTACTTTTTTGATATCTGCTTTTATTTCTCATTACTCTTTTCTGATTTGATTGTTAATATATTTCCCCAAATCGAGTCTGTTTTGCCCTAGACGGTAGCTGCAGGTGATCTCCCCATCTTTATCTCAAACCTTGGACCCTTTGTTATATTTTCTCCACCTGGCTAGCTGAGATGGAGGAGTGACAGAGCAGCTGCGGTGGGCACCTGGCCACCAGCCAGGGTCATCCCACTGCACAATTATATGTGAGAGGACAGAGACAGCAAAGATATTTTTAAAGTCAAGTGATCAAGGTTTGCAAAATTACTGCTTGTTGGTTCTAGTTTAGGATATTGCAGACTGAATGGCCAAGTCATTGAGCTTAAAATTTCTCAAAATGTCTTCCTTACTTTCATGGCAAAACATTTTAGAATTTGTCAGCGATGTCTCATTTAAATATGAAATTAAAATAAGTACTTTTTTGAACACAAAGTCTGAACTTCAGGTAACAAAAAGATGACCAACATACTTGCATACTTACTTTTGAGTGTTTGAAGTCTATGTTGTTTTCTACTTTTCTGTACAACCAACCTTCTACATTCATGGAAAAGAGTTTGGCAAACTATTTGTATATGCTTTAGTTCCTATATACTTAACCGCTGTTGTGATGAATGGTAGTATTTTTCCATATCACTAGTTTGTGAGTTATACTTGACATGTAATATATGCATATATTTGATCAGTGTCATTGCAGTTCGATGTCTGTTAAACTTATTAATGAACTGTCTTCAGTTACGTGTTTCTTCTTGACATTTCTATTAGGAAGAAAGGTGGCTTATACTAAATGGCTTATTTTGTATAGAATGCAGTTTCAGGCAGCAGCTTTAGTAGTTAGCAATAAGCACTAAGAATTTCAAATATTCTGTATTTTTTTTTAGTACAGAATACAGAAGTTTCTCCCTACTTTTCCTAGGTATCAGTACAAAGATAAAACTATTTTTCTATTGGTTCTTAGTGAAAAAACCCTCAAAATAATAAAAGTCTATGTAGACAAAAGCTAAAGTTTTACTTAAGTTAAAGAAAGCAAGAACTCCAGAATTAAAGGAAAAATTTGAGGAGAAAATTATGTATTTGAATCATCTCATCTTCCTAGATGAGTCCAAGCTCTTAGAATTGGGTTGACTTCATGGCTGAAGTATCTGAGTGATATTTCATTTGATGTCTTCTTTCATATTCAGTGTAGGCAGATCCAGAAAAATACTCCTTCAGCTGACACCTTGATAATACTGTCTGTAATTCTCACAGTAGATACTAAAATCAAGTGGAAAAGAAAGTCTCTAAGGGTCTATGTGCAAATTGATCTGGTGCTCTATTTCTTGTGCATTCATAACTTCTTGCTCTGTTCTACATATCTGTAAGTTTGTTAGCAAGAATTTTTTTTCAGTTTAATAGTATGTCTGTTTTCTTTAAGGTGGAGCTTTTTTTAGCAAATCAGCAGAGACTAAAATGTTAAAGATGTACTCCAGTCTGACCCTGGACTAGCACATGGTTTTGAAAATCTCACTCAGTGCCAGTAGAAGTCTGTCACATACATCTGAGGTGTGGAATACAAATTTTCTGCAACCTGTGAACACAGTACTTACAGCATCCCTCCTGCACAGCATATGTCTTCAAGAAACCAGCAGATTTCTGTACTGCCTTTATTTTTGCAAACCACTCTTGATCTCACTGGGTTTAATTTCAAACTCCTGAAGTAGCTGTGAAATGCATTTCCTTCTTAGATTTTTCATGTTTCCTTTCAGTACAGTTTTTCTGGATCAGTTTAGAGTCCCTGCTAGCTTTTCCATTTTCATGTTAATGTTAAATCTTGCTCTTTGTTTCTGAAACTTAACTCCAATACATCTATGTGATTTTTGTTTTAAAAACAAATCTGAATCTCAGTATCAGGATTTAGAACATTGTGTTTACTGCTGAGTACTCAGTGGTCTGTGTCTCACTGGCACGAAGATCTGGTGGAATTGTGAACATCATCTTGAGAGTTTTACTTGACTTGCAGAGACTTGTGCCTTGCTGTCACAAGTATCCAAGAAATATTAAGCTGTTTGTGAATATAGTAAGCTCTATTCTAAAATGAATTAGAATTTCTTGCCCCTGTGTTCCTACTGGAAGTGTGTGCCACTACTTCATTCCTGTGATTACTTTTTAGTTCAAATCTATCCCTGATCATTCTTTTACAATATTGCTTTTTTTTTCCCCTGCCCCTGTTTCTACCCCCTTGCCCCTGCTGTTGTTGTTTACCTCTATGCTGTAAATTATGAGGCAGTCGAATTTCTAATCAGCCCGTATTATGCTGCCATGGGATTTTCAGGTTATTCTTTGCTGTGTGCTGTAAACCATTTCATAGTATCTATGCTGTTCCCCTGAGAAACCGTAATTCATAGTGCCTGTCACTGTGTTGTATTTCGAAACTACAGGTAACGGAATCTAGAGATTTCCTGAATTACTCCAAACGCTCTTATATTCCCTTGGTAACAGGGGTAGCTGAGGTACTCAGAATCGCAGCATATTCACCAAAACTGTAGTGGTGAAACAAAGCTGACAACATCGTCTGAGGTGGTGGGTGTGATGCACGTTAACTCTCTGTGCAGCACAGTTATATAACTGCTGGAGTGACAGTAGCTACTCATTTCATTTACATCTCAGGGAAGCCACAGTTTACTCTTAAACCGATAGTATGTGTGAGACATGATGTTTTATTTAATGTTACCCTCTAAAGATAGGAGAAAATTTTAGTTCACACTCTTGTCAAATGTGAGCACCAGAGCTGTCTGTACCCTAAACAACAGTATGGATCTTAAATATTGTTACTAACAGGACAAGGTGACAAATCTTTGAGTCTTGCTGCAATCTAGTTTGTAATGTCTTCATGTAGGGTCAACATTGCAATGTTTAAAGCAAAATCTACTAAGTTTATTCTGTTGTTTAATGTCAGAAATAATGTATTTGTGCTTTTCTATTTTTATTTGTGGGAAAAACCTAACTTCTCATAGCAGGCTCTTCCTTGTGACTATAAGAGTG